TGCATGCGACCTCCGATCTGCATGAGACCTCCGATCTGCATGAGACCCCCGATCTGCATGAGACCCCCGATCTGCATGAGACCATGTAGAACAAACGAAATTTGACACTGGAAACTTCACTTAAGATCTGTGAACAGGGCTCCCTAATGGGGGTCCCCCCTCCCACCCCCGGGCCCCATAGTAGCCGTGTGGACTGCTACGGCTATTGTCACGCCATTGGTTATAAACCTTCCCCCGCTCTATCCTATGGTAATAAAACAAGACGTCAGCTTCGGCTTCCCGATCGTCTTTCGTTTCAGGGACCGTGACCGGATGCAGACACTCGGGTCAGAGAATAGAGGGGTGAGTTGCTTCACCTTCAGAAGCCACCTTTCCCAGAAGGCAAGTGCGCCGCTTACAGAGACTGATGTGACTGTGGGGGGGGGCATTAGAGTGTAAGCTCCTCTGTACAGAGACTGGTGTGACTGGCTCAGTGTTCTCTGTACAGCGCTGCGGTATATGTCAGAGATAATGGAGGCGGCTACAAACATAAAAGTGATGACTGACCTCACATGAGGCGTGTGTGGAGCCCCCTCTGGTGGTGGAGATCTGTAATAACAGGCAATTGAAAAGCAATGCGGAAAACAATTCCAATATAACGGGAGAGTTCCAGCCAAAAAAAACAACAAAACCAAGAACAGCAACGTGCAGATTCTTATCTGTGACTGGATTCTGGGTTTTGTCTGAACTGTTTGGCAGAGAAGCTAACAATCTATATTAGCTCTCTCTCCTGTATAGTCCCCGAGGTTTACAGTCATGTATAGAGCTCTGTCAGCATCCTGTACAGAGGAATTGTGTCCGCTGACAACTTCCTGCGCTGCAGTCCAGTCAGGTTCATCGTTCCTCCTCATCTATGTGCACTACAGAACCCCACCCCATCTTACATGGATGCCAACGGTCCCGGATCTCCCGCGAGGGTCCCACATCTTGGACGATGACGTGTCTCAGGCGATCCGGTTGTGCTTTGTACAGATGCATGTGGAATAAAGTTGGAATTTCTTTGGAAGATCATCGTGTGCTGGTTCCAGGTTTTGATCTCCTGGGGTCACCCCGTCTGAGTTCCTGCGTATGAACGATGCATAGACACCAACTGTCCTGGACCTACCGGGCTTGTCTCACATCTCTGACCTCCGTTCCGATGGTGCCGTGTCTCCGGCGATGTCCCGGGGTCCCAGGGTCCCGAGTCTCCGGCGATGTCCCGGGGTCCCAGGGTCCCGAGTCTCCGGCGATGTCCCTCTCTGGCGATGTCCTGGGGTCACAGGGTCCCGAGTCTCCGGCAATGTCCCGGGGTCACAGGGTCCCGATGGTGCCGTCTCTGGCGATGTCCTGGGGTCACAGGGTCCCGAGTCTCCGGCAATGTCCCGGGGTCACAGGGTCCCGATGGTGCCGTCTCTGGCGATGTCCTGGGGTCACAGGGTCCCGAGTCTCCGGCAATGTCCCGGGGTCACAGGGTCCCGATGGTGCCGTCTCTGGCGATGTCCTGGGGTCACAGGGTCCCGAGTCTCCGGCAATGTCCCGGGGTCACAGGGTCCCGATGGTGCCGTCTCTGGCGATGTCCTGGGGTCACAGGGTCCCGAGTCTCCGGCAATGTCCCGGGGTCACAGGGTCCCGATGGTGCCGTCTCTGGCGATGTCCTGGGGTCACAGGGTCCCGAGTCTCCGGCAATGTCCCGGGGTCACAGGGTCCCGATGGTGCCGTCTCTGGCGATGTCCTGGGGTCACAGGGTCCCGAGTCTCCGGCAATGTCCCGGGGTCACAGGGTCCCGATGGTGCCGTCTCTGGCGATGTCCTGGGGTCACAGGGTCCCGAGTCTCCGGCAATGTCCCGGGGTCACAGGGTCCCGATGGTGCCGTCTCTGGCGATGTCCTGGGGGTCACAGGGTCCCGATGGTGCCGTGTCTCTGGCGATCACCTCTATTTGAGTTCCTGTGCCTGCAATCATTACGATGGTCAGGGGGCCACAAATGGGCAGCCGCCCTGCTTAGAGATGGGGGGTGGTTGGATGGCCTGCTCTGGCGAGTGGTTTAGGTCTGGTGACGGCCGCCCAGTCACTGAGTGGGTCTGGGTTAAGCCTTGGTATGCATGCATTATGTTATGGAGAAGATAGGAGGGGAGGTGTCTGTAGTCCCATCCTGCTGTCCTGATGCAGTACAGTAAGGGAGTGTTGTCACCTTAGGACAGGAAGTGTGTTACTGGCCGGTTGTGATCTTTTTTTTTTTTTTAAGGGGGGGGCGGGTTTAAAGTGCCACTGACCACCAATGATTTTGGGATCTTTATTCTTAATCCCTTGCTGGTGTGTCAAGCTTTAAGAACAAAAACTACCGTGCCTAAAATTGTCCATGGGCGACAATTGATAAGATTTCATCAGTTTAGTGTTATCGGTGATTGGCGGCCCGAGAATGATCGCTCTCACTGCGACATGTCACGTGTGTGGTGTCATTGTTTTCGCACGTAGGCCCGCCCGACGCAAATATACATTATAGGTGCGTGCAAGCGGGGTCCGGGGACTTAAAGGAGAACTACGGGGTCAGTGTTTTTCCCCATAGTTCTCCTTAGGGTAACGGGAGGACACAAACTAGCGTCCTCCCGTCACCCTAAGCTCAGTATATAGGGAGCTACAGCTTGCGGTATACTGAGACGCCGCAGCCGGAGCGGGTCCCGGCATGGATGTCTGGATCCGCCCAGCTGCGTGAGTGACAGCTGGCTCCGCCTATCTAGAGGCAGGGCCAGCTGTACCCGCCCCCTCTCCCGTCCGTTCCCCCAGTCAGCGCTGGAGGAATCCAGCCCCTCCCCTGTCACAGCAGAGCGCCGTGACAGGATCGAGAGGTGAGCGAGCGCCGGTATGTGTTCGCTCACCTCCCGATCTACTGAGCCGACCTGTGACAGTCTCATTGTCACAGGTCGGCTAGAACTATGAGGTGAGTGAAAAGCACCCCTCCCCCCCCCCTCATAGTTCTCCTTTAAGGAACTTGCCTGCAACCTCTGCTGAAGGAGATCTGCAAGTGCAGCAGAATTCTATGAAAAATGGGATTGGACGAAGGACCCTTAACCCCTTCATGCCTGGAGATGTACACTATGTCCCCCAGCATGCCCAAATGACTGACCACGTACACTGTACTTGAAGCTTTTAAAAGCCAGTAAACCGCTGAGATCAGCGGTTACCGTTCATTAACGGATGCCTCAGTATTGCGTATCCAGTAATAGTATTCATATTAATAAAGGAATTAAAGGAGAACTATGGGGTCAGGGCTTTTCCCCATAGTTCTCCTAAGGCAGTGGTGGCGAACCTTGGCACTCCAGCTGTTTTGGAACTACAAGTCCCATGAGGCATTGCAAGGCTCTGACAGCCACAACTCCCAGAGGCAGATGCATGTTGGGATTTGTAGTTTTAGCACAGCTGGAGCGCCAAGGTTCGCCACCACTGTCCCAAGGGTAACGGGACGACACAAACTAGCGTCCTCCCGTCACCCTAAGCTCAGTATATAGGGATCTACAGCTCGCGGTATACTGAGACCGCCGCAGCCGGAGCGGATCCCGACATCGATGTCTGGATCCACCCAGCTGCGTGACTGACAGCTGGCTCTGCCTATCTAGAGGAGGAGCCAGCTGTACCCGCCCCCTCGCCTGTCCGTTCCGCCAGTCAGCGCTGGAGGATCTGACAGGGGAGGGGAGAATCCAGTCACTCCCGTCATCGCACTCTGCAGGGATAGATCGAGAGGTGAGCGAACACTGGTATGTGTTCGTTCACTTCCCGATCTACTGAGCCGACCTGTGACAGTCTCATTGTCACAGGTCGGCTCAGATTATGAGGCTGAGTGAAAAGCCCCTCCCCTCATAGTTCTCCTTTAGCTTGATTGCTATTACATAGGAGGCTAAAAATCCCCCTATGCGATAGCCAAAAAACAATGACAGGAGACCCCCTGATGTCTCCATAAAGAGGGCCCAAGACCCCTAATGTCACCTGGGGACCCCCCAAAGAAGCTGAGGAAGCAGTGAAGAGATCACCAGCTTCTTCTCTGGCTATAGCAGCCAGAGAAAAATGACAGCTGAAGGCGGAAGTGATGTAATAGACATCGCTTCCACCCTGAGAGGAGAGATGAGCGGTGGGGAATGCCGATCCCTCCTCCTCCTCAGTACAGAGAGCCGCTATGCCAGTGTTCTCGGGCCCCAGGCACTGTGCGTGGTTATACAAGCAATCGGCCGGCAACGCTTGTATGCAACAGCCGGTTGCGGCTGTACACATTCCCGGCTGCATTCTGCCCGTGAGCAGAACACAAAAATCACGCAAATGTACGTCCACCCGCCGGGAAGCATCCGCCACCCACAGTTGGCTGATGGCAAGAGGTTAAAGATGTTGGGCGGGGGTTAAAGTGCCACTGGGGTGGAGTACCACCGACCGCCAATGATTGTGGGAACTTATTTCTAAAGATTGGGAGGGTTGTTTTAAAGTGACAATTACCAATGATTATGGCAGAAAAAGACCTAAAGCGCACAGGGGGTATGTAGTACGTCGTATCCTTCTGCCCCGCCAGCGCTCGATTCCTCAGCCTTACCGTGATCAATACACGGCAGTGGCGGGAGATTTGAATGCTAAAGCAGCTTCTGGCGTTTCAGCCCAACTGGCCTTACTAAGTCCCCCCGAGACCGGGTCACATGTTTCCGTGCCACGGCTCCGGACCCAGAAAGCAATGCAATCTCGTTCTTGGGATACTGGCAAAAAAGCAAAAACCATGGAGGGACGGTGAGCAGGAGGGGTTAATCAGGGGCAGGCTTCCAACATTTTCTGTTTATCAGCATGCCGGCCTCCTGCAGGCGGCAGTATAACCCGTCTCCCTCTGAATTGCCGTGTCCCTCGATGGACAGCTTTGTATTGCGTCTCTATGCCAGCTAATGGGGGACAACAAGTCAGTGATCCACTTTTCCCCCCTCCAATTCATCTCACACGGGAACCAGTCAGTCAGACGTTAGAGGGAACCAGTTTATTGAGCAAAACAAAATTACACGGTAACTGGAAGTCCTGAAAATTTTATTAAAAAAAACAAAAAACCCCAAATACTGACCGGAGGAGGCAGTAACGTCCGAGTGAGGGGGGGAGGGGAGAAGTGCAGCGACAGAGCCAAGACTAATAAAACAAGAGAAGTTAAAAGAAGTCCACGTCTTCGGGGGCGTCTAGGTCTCGGTACTCAATGATAGAACGTGGGTCCCCGCGCATCATTCTGTGGGGGCAACAACAACAACAACAACGTGGATTCAGAACGTCAAGAGGACCAGAAAAGTCAAAAAGGGGTCAAAAACACCCCAAGATACGATCATCTCACCGATTGCGTGGTTTGGGGTAGGCACCGCCTTGGCCCCGGAAGGCGTCGTAACCTCGCCCAGCGCCATAAGGATTGGGAGGGAACTGAGGAGCTTAAAGAGGAGAGGACACGTTAGTTCTCGTTAGATCCACCAACTGCGACCATCATCCCACCAAAACGGAGAATAAACTCACCTCCGTAACCCATCACTGGGGGGCGCGGCTGAGCGTAGGGCAAGAGAGCCTGAGGGCCTTGGTGAGGGTAGAGCAATCCGGGAGCCAATCCTGGAAAAAAGAACACGAGTCTGAAACATTACCTGGTGACAGAAGGGGGTATGAGTCTGTCCTCCTCCTGCAGGGTGATACATAGAAGGGAGCTATGAGTCTGTCCTCCTCCTGCAGGGTGATACATAGAAGGGAGCTGTGAGTCTGTCCTCCTCCTGCAGGGTGATACAGACAGAAGGGAGCTATGAGTCTGTCCTCCTCCTGCAGGGTGATACAGATAGAAGGGAGCTGTGAGTCTGTCCTCCTCCTGCAGGGTGATACAGACAGAAGGGAGCTATGAGTCTGTCCTCCTTCTGCAGCGTGATACAGACAGAAGGGAGCTATGAGTCTCCTCCTCCTGCAGGGTGACACAGACAGAAGGGAGCTACGAGTCTCTCCTCCTCCTGCAGGGTGATACAGACAGAAGGGAGCTATGAGTCTGTCCTCCTGCAGGGTGATACATAGAAGGGAGCTATGAGTCTCCTCCTCCTGCAGGGTGATACGGACAGAAGGGGGCTATGAGTCTGTCCTCCCCCTGCAGGGTGATACAGACAGAAGGGAGCTATGAGTCTGTCGTCCTCCTGCAGGGTGACAATGCAGGACATACCTTGTGCAGCAGCCACCGGTGGCTGGATGGGTTTGACCTCTGGCAGTGCTGGACGTTTACTGTCTATCAGGAAATTGTTGAAGAACACCACTTCCTTTTTAACCTCTTCAATCTTCTCAGCGTGTTTGTTGAAAATGTGTTTACGGACAAACTCCGGACCCTGGAGCAGACAAAGCACATAATTATTATTATTCAATACGGTGGCCTCGTGTGCATAACAAAAATATTAATATGTGCCAAAAAGCAATGGAGGAGTCTCCTGGCCCATCAGTCAGGGTATGATGTCATGGAGGGGTGACACCAGGAGTCTCCTGGCCCATCAGTCAGGGTATGATGTCATGGAGGGGTGACACCAGGAGTCTCCTGGCCCATCAGTCAGGGTATGATGTCATGGAGGGGTGACACCAGGAGTCTCCTGGCCCATCAGTCAGGGTATGATGTCATGGAGGGATGACACACCAGGAGTCTCCTGGCTCATCAGTCAGGGTATGATGTCATGGAGGGGTGACACCAGAGTCTCCTGGCCCATCAGTCAGGGTATGATGTCATGGTGGGAAGACACACTAGAAGTCTCCTGGCCCATCAGTCAGGGTATGATGTCATGGTGGGGGTGACACACCAGTAGTCTCCTGGCCCATCAGTCAGTGTATGATGTCATGGTGGGGGTGACACACCAGTAGTCTCCTGGCCCATCAGTCAGGGTATGATGTCATGGTGGGGGGTGACACACCAGGAGTCTCCTGGCCCATCAGTCAGGGTATGATGTCATGGAGGGATGACACACCAGGAGTCTCAAACAAGTTAGGCAGTGTGACTGGGAAGGACTGAGAGGAAGTTGGAGACTCCCAGGTCCTGCCAATATGCTGTTACAATTAAACTACAATTGGGGAAGTTACACAATTGGTGGCCCTGGGACAAAGCAGACAGTGCCCACCGATCTTACAAACAGGATGTGGGCTAAACTGAGTCATGGAGCCTCATACACTGGCAGTGAGGAAGCTGCCCAGGCTATGCGCCCGCAGACTGACCTTGAATTTCTTGCCACTCAGAGGACACAGCCACTTCTCTTTGCCCAGCTCCTGGGTGTTCGCCGTCACAAACTTCTCCACTTCCTGTTCTGGATCCTTCTTCCCGATCTTCGCCGCCTCCTCTTCAGACAGGCTCTCGCGGACGGCGAAGAGAGGGGCGAGCTTCTCCTCGAAGGTCTTCTGCCAGTCGGATACTGCAGGAAGAAGAGAAAAGTAAAACATGCGGTCTATGGGAATACTGAGGAGCTTTAAAAGAATTCCAGCAACACAGCGAGTGATA